GAACATTGGTGTATAAAATTAAGAGCGCTTTCAAATTTGGTTGATTATCTCCAGAAGTGATGGTCAGATGTTAATGCAATTTAGCTATATGCATAGTTTTATATCACACAAAAAATATACCATACAACAGCCATAATACATATGCATGACTGTGCATAAAGCTCGTTGCCACAGGAAGGTCTAAAACAGGAGATCAAACAAAAAAGGACACTAATAAAGGGGTCCGATCCCCTGTAACAGTCATACAGTTCTACTTTGTACTAGAAAAGCTGATTCGCCATTGTGTGTTTTATGTAATAGTAGACGGCCAATGACGGTAGAACATTTGGATGAGCATGAAGCACTGACAAATTTTTCTTGTAGATTTCAGCGCTATTGGCAAGCAAGAAGTTTAATGGCCTAACGGCCAATGTAACTGGCATTTCACAAATAAAACTTTGTACTAGAAATGAGTCTAGGTATGTTTACGGTAATCAGTCCCACTCCTCGGCCAATGCTGTTTTAATGTTGGAGGCTTCTGCAGGGAGAAGGCCAGTCGTAGTTACTTTATCAAAAGCATCTCAGACATGTCCTATAGGACTTAGGTTAGGCTGGCTAAGTCATCCAGTTTATATCCTCAATTTCCAGATTAATCCTATGTGCACGAGTGTTATCATTCATAAAAATGAACTGAGGATCACGTCCAATTGCAGTTAGTGGGGGTGAAGGGGAAATTAACGTCGGAGTGTACAGCTTCATCGCTGTCGTTATGAATTGCTCCACAATCTCCCACTCGATGAGCTGAGTCTGGAGTAAGGCCGATTACTTTTAACAAAAATTCCAGCTCTTGTCTGGGCAAGGGTTTCGTGAACATGTCTGCATATATCATTTTTCTGTTGCAGTGTTGTAATTTAACAATTCCTTGATTTTGTGGATCACATACGTAGTGAAATTTCACATCGATGTGTTTGGTATAAGTGCTTCCTTTTTCTTTTCTGGAAAGATTTATGCATGATATATTGTCCTCGAATACAATGTTAGCTTCCTGTTGAGCAAAACCTAAATCTTCCATCAGTTGTCTAATCCATTGTACATGTTCATCGCTGTTGTTATGAATTGCTCCACAGAAAGGCAGCAAATGTCTCACAATAGTATTCGCAATTTTTTCTATGGAGCTAATCACTCAGCCATCTTTTACCAAAAAGGAAAGTGAATTGTTTTAATATATTCTGCATGCTTTTTCTAACTCTTTCCCAAACCCACTTACTAGGCGTAGAGGATGTTATTTATGACACATATGAAATCCAGGAATCCCTCTGGCTCTGCCTTCTTGCTTTTCATGCATTTGCTTTGGCTCTTTTAAATGCCATAAGGTTTCGCAGAGTAGGGTATCTATGAAAAATTCCCCATGCTTTTCTCTGTTTTTTCAGTGCCTCATGACAGTCATGATTCCACCATGGTTTCAAACATTTTAGAATTTTTCTGATGTTCTAGGGATGGAGAGCATAGTTACCTGAGTAATAGAAGTTGTAACTGCTTCCACTGCATCATTGATAAGCACATCTTCTACAATTTTCTGTGTGAGCTCTGCAGTGGAAGAGAAGAGTTCCCAGCCTGTCCTATCTAGTGTAAACCGAGGAAGTCTCGACATGGGGTTTGCTTCTCTTCGTGCAAGAGATGAAAGAATGAGATATAATGATCGCTGTTGTACAGATCACTTCCAACACTAAAATTGCAAAATGGCAATAGAGATGGTGAACAGATAGCTAGGTCAAGAGCGTGGAATGTCCTTGTAGGTTCATGGAAGTATGTTTCCTGCCCATTATTCAGGAGACAAAGGCAATGGTCTTCAATTACCTGCTCAATTTGTCTTCCTCGTGAATTGGTGTCTTTAGTTCCCCGCAACAGACCATGGCTGTTAAAATCACCCATTATGATAAAAGTCTCAGGCAGCTGAGCCACAAGGTCATTTAAATCCTGCTGATCAATGTGCTCATTTGGAAGGAAAATAAAGAGAACGACTGAAACTACAAGATGAAAATTTACTTTTACAGCGGCAACTTAAAGGGGTGTAGGCGATGGAAAAGAACTTGATGGATAGTTCAGTGAGGTGAGGAGACCTACACTGGCACACTCACTGGCAATGCTATCCTTCCTAACGAAAGAAAACCTCTGAAGTTTCGCATGTTGACTGGTTTCACATTTGTCTCTTGTATTGCCAAGCACACTGGATGGCAAGCATTGATCATAGCTTTGCTGTCAAGGAAATTTCAGTGGAAATCATTCCATCTGCAGAACTATTGCTGGGGCTTCTATTTTTGTTAATTGCTTTTGGAGGGACATTTTTTGGTTTGCTTTGAATAATTATTTCTTTATTTTGTATAATGTGCATTGGATTTTCCTTTTCTTGCTTACAGGTTGCTGGATTTTATTTTGTACAGTCTGTGTACTTATTGAAGTTTGGGTTGCAATGGTACGTGCTGATTTAATGGCACTGGCATATGATTTATTTGATTGAAGCTGTGTGCTTTGAACTAGTTTTCTGGCTTCAGCATATGAGATGTTCCTAGTGACTTTTACCATCTGTACTTCCTTTCCCGTTTTCCATTTTGGGTATGATCGAGAAAATGCTGGATGGCCACCCTTGCAATTTAAACACAGTGCCGCAGCGGTGCAATAATCGCTATTATGGCCAACTGACGATCATCGAGCACACGACAGGACATCTTGGAATGGCTGAAATGCTGGCACTGGAAGCATCGCATAGGGTTTGGAATATAAGGTCTTATAGGGCAATTTAGATATCCAGCCTTGATATTCTTTGGCAGATCAGGCGTCTTGAAGGTTAGGATGACGTGTTTCGTGTCAATCAACTGACCTTCCTTACGCATCTTGATCCGCTTTGCAGCACAAACCTTTTGATCAGCTAAATTGGAAACGAACTCTTGTTCAGGAATAGACAGAAGGTCGACTTCCGAGATTACGCCGCGAGAATAATTCAATGTCTTATGCCCTGTTACATTGACAGTTGCTTTCCCAAGTTTTGTTATTTGAAGTAAAGAAGCAGACTGGGTGGCCGAAGTTGTATGAATATGCAAGTCTCCAGGGCGGAGACGCTTAATATTTCTCGGCTCACCAATACAAGAATGGATGCATTTATTTATCACAAAAGGAGACATCTCTTGCAGCTCACCTGAAGGACTAGAGACAACAAGGAAACAGGGACTATTGTTAGGATTATTTGCATTTGCATCTATACATACTTTTTAGCAGAGTTTTTGGAATTAGCGCTTAGAGCGACGGGAATGACTTTAAAGTCTTTAATTAAATATATTTTGGAATAACTCATATTTAAGAAAGAAAAGATTCGAGCCCAACGGCCCACCACCACGGAGCCCAACAAGGAAACACAGATTCCTGCATTAGGGCTAGCCAGACCTACATGCAAACTGAAGCCCCACAGTTGGCTTTCCCGAGAGCTTTATCCCCAAGCCACTGACACAAGAACTAGTGACCAGTCGATTGACACCCATTTAGCTGAAGCAGAAGACAAAGCAGTGTGTTGGGTACAGTACCTCACCCCTCGAAATACCAGGACTTCCCAGCGACATGGGTCTCCATGCATGGCAAACACGTGGCTAGTTTTCTTGCTACTCGAAAACTTGAGACAAGGGCTGTTCCAGTTTCTTATGATGAGTCCTAACCTCCGAAGAGGAAATCAACAAGGGAGAATGGAAGGGAAAAAAATATCAGGTCAGAGGAGAGGAGACGGAAAAGAGGATTGATCACTGGGGCTCGAGGATAATGACACCCATCTCAGCAAGAAAATGATCCCCTGAAGGGCTAGGGTACTTCGGGATTGCCACAGCCGAACAAGAGTGAGCCCCTGAGGGGTTAGATATTTATGTAAAAGTTACTTGAAACTAAAAACTTAAATTTTACTGAATAACGTAAAGAGCAAGCATTAGTGAGTCATATCAATATTCAGCTTTTATAACATGAAATATGCATAAAACTTATCAATGAAATTTCTTTATGTAAAGGCTTTTTATGTGAAGAGAATGCATGCAGCTTCTTGTAATATTAACAAATTTAGCACTTCTGAAAAGTATGGTACTTCATGAAATGAATCAATATTTATTTTTCCAGCTCCCATTCCCACTAAAAAATTCTTTTGCCATGAAATGGATTGAAGTTTCCTGGAAATAAGTAATTATATTTTCGAAATCTTAAGACTAGTTTCAGTTTATAAATACCAAAAACTACTTTTATTCAAGTTTTGGCAGTTATCATCATTTTCTACCATTTTTCTTATTTCATTTATGAAATACATTAAAAAGTAATCTTAATTAAAATAAATGTATATGTATTTTTCCAATTTTGGAAGGGAAAGGGGTGAAAGGATTGTCCAGCAATGATGAAATGAATGCATGAAGTAGAAAAGGTTGAGAACCACCAATATTATAGTAATCAAATCAATTCAGAGGTATGACAGAGAAAAGACAACTAAACAACTTGCTTTATAAATGAAGAACAATCCTCTGAATCCAAAGAACTTGTTTGCACATGCATAACAAATTTTTGATATATAAAACTATGTTTATTATTTTATTACATATATGTCTATTGCAAAAAAAGGTTCAGATTTAAAAATAATTATTTTTAATTTTACCCGTATGAATGTTTTAAATCTTAAATTTAGAAGAAATATTTTAATTTTAAAAAAAACTTGAAAATAATTTATTAGGATTCAGGATTCTGAATGCATTTCAGCTTTTTAATTTTTTTCAGTACACTAATAAAACAAACCTTCTTCCCCAACCACAAAAAGGTTCACTAAAATGAGATTTTCATCGAACAAAATGAGAAAACAATTGCATCAATAAAAAAACTTTCGGAACAGGAAAAATGTCTTTTTGTCTTTTTTAGCATATTATTTTGCTGATATATACAGCTGTTAATTTTTTAGACATTTTCTGTTTCATAACGTAACACATAAAGAAATACTGGATAATACTTACAGCTGTCGTACAGTACTTGGCTTTTGAATGTGTCTGTCTTTTTGCTCTTCAGTTAATTTCAAAACTGTAGATTCATATCTTTAAAAAGAAATAAATTTTAACTGTACTTCCTTTTACAAGTGCTTGAGAAATTTTATAATTTGTACAAATTATGACGAAAATATTTATTTTTCAATTCATAAGAAAACAAATCATAAAATAAAAGGTTTCTGAAGAGACTATGTATGCTATATGTAAGCAATGATACTTTATATGCATTGGGATAATGAAATTCTTCTAAAATTGCAAATTTCATCATCTGAAAGATGAAATTCATTTTGATATAGAAAAGAATTATATGGTATTAATTTAACACCCCCTCCAAAAAAGGGTTTATCATCTTGATTTTCAAATGCAAGAATAATAAAATAAGAAAATGCAAATAAATATGGTAAATAGCTTTTACTAATTTCGTAATTTCTAAACAGAAAGACTGAATATAGAAAGAAGAATGGGAAAGGAAAATAATTTCTAATGAAAGCAGATTTATACTAATATGAATTACAGTTTTTGGTTACTCTAATTTATACTGTCACATACATATAGCCTGAATTAACACCTGAATTAAAAGTTCATAAATGCCAGAAATACAAATTAAATTCTAAATGCCAAAATTATAGACACAAGGCATATTTTAATACTTAGTAATATTTTAATACTTTACTGTTATTCAAACATCTCTTTTAATCTTTAAGAGACAATCTCTCAGAATAGCAGTAACAATGTATTTCAATAATATTAAAAACTTACTTCTGAACTTGATGTTTTGTGCTCTGCAATTCAATTTCCAAAGATTTTATTTTATGTTTTAAATACCTCTGCTCCTGTATCAAAGAATGAACTGTGTTAGCATCTGAAGAAAATTTCAAATCATCTGTATCTGAACTAGCAATGCTTGTATATTTAACACGATCATCATCCTAAAAAATATAAAACTCTGTATGAAATACAAACTTTTGGATCAAACTAAATAACATACAAAACATGGGTTATACTTTAGACTACATACTATGTTACATATTTTGGAGATTTTTAATCAGGATATGAGTTCTATATTTCACTGATTATGGAAGGAGAATGCAATACAGATGAAAAAAACTGATATTTCTTTACAGTATTCATATTAAATAAATTGATTTCATACCTTATGTACTTTGCTCTTGGAATTAGGCAGAGTTTGTTGTAAAGAAGTAAGTTTTGTATCTTGAATATTCAGTTTAGTCTCATATTCCATTTTTTGCAAGCTGAGCATTTTTATCATGTTTTTGGTTCCTTGTAACTCAAGATGCAGTGATTTGTTAGTATCTGATAACTTTTCTACAGTGCACTTCAGCTGCAAGAGAACACTGTATTAAAGTAATGCTTCATTAAAGTGTAGATTACATAACACAAATAATTTATAACTGTAAAAATCTAAAACAAAAATTTAAATCAAGTTATGAGTTTTGCACAAATTTAACACATATACTTCACTTAAATAAGGGGGAAAATATAGATTAATCCAGTAGAAAACAAGAAAATTTGATCAGCTTTCTAGGGACTTGTATGCAGCCACAGGAACCCGTGTAACAAGGGTGACTGTTTCCAAAAGACTGAATGAGAGAGGGTTGTTTGCCAGAAGACTGACTGTTTGCTTCCCGCTCACATCTACGGACATGAGAGTCCTATTAGCATGGTGCAGGTAGCATAGTGATTGGAGTACGAAGCAATGGGCGACCGTTTCGTTCACCACAAATCCCATTTTAGCCCAGACACCGATTTGCGCCGTACTTTCATAGGAGAGAGCCAGTGACTCGCTATCTAAACTCCAATGTCCGCGAATTCAACAATTATGGCGGTGTAATGGTCTAGGAAGGCATCATGTTGGATGGCCGCACATCTCTCCACGTCTTTGACAGAGGTATAGGGATGACGTCTGTGACTGATATGAGGTATAGGGAAATACCTCAGTCTGTGACTGATGTGAGGGTAAATTGCTGGATGGATTAGCCAGCCAAGTCTCCAGACCTCAACCCTATACAGCATGTCTGGGACACTCTGGGGAAGGCAACTGCAACTCACAGCCCCCTTCCATCATCCAGGAACTGAAAACAGTGTTGCTGAATGAGTGGGGACCAATTGCAACAGGCACTGATAAACTACCTTATTTCCAGTATGACATCACACTGCTAGGCCTTAGGCCTGTATAGCTATAAGAGGGAATCATACCCCCTGTTAACCCATTTCTTTTGTGTCTTTTGCTACCGCTGTTTCAGACCTTCTGTCTCCGATGAGTGTTACACACGAACATGTGTGCCTATTATAACTATTGAATATTTATTTTGTTTGTATTATATGAACCTAGGCTCACATGAAATTTTGTTAAAATCTGTCCAGTAGTTCTGGAGATCGTAGATCAAATATAAAAATTCTCTTAATTTATTTCACCAGTGTAGGAAGCTTCAGTATACCTTATTGTAAAAATGGGAGTCATTTGAAAAAGTTCATCAGATAAAAATTTATGGCTTCTAGAGACAATGGATTAGCTTTCCAAGAAACTGGTACCCATGTCAGATGAAATCAAGCCACAGAAATGCAAATACATGAAAAGTGGGTGCAGCAGGGACGGGCTGACTATGAGAACAATTAAACCAGACTCATCATAAATAATAGACTGCACAGCAATATCAAAAATCCTAATGCAAGAAATTAGGGTCTCCTGCAGAACAATTTATGTCAGCATGTACCATTAGATGTCATCTGCAGAGGAGGAAGAATATTGATATAATTATCACTAAAGCACACCAATGGCCGAGCGGTAAAGTTGCTGAACACTGGTAGTTCGGTCCAAGGTTCGAATCTTGCAAACGGGCTGGCTGCATGGGCGTTTTCGTGGTTTTCCCATGTGTAATGTGTATATGAGCCTGTTTCCCTTAGAAAGTCCTCCACGAAGGTATCCTCCCCCTTAGGCAGACAGCCCTCAAGGCTTTGCCATAATCACACACACACATATAATTATCCCTAACTTTTATACCGCAGAGGCATGTGGTTGAAATGAAGTGTTGGACAAATGAAAACATGATACATACATTTTAAAATGAATCTTAAATTTACTTACAACAATCATATTTGAGTCTAGCCAGCACCATGCTGACAGACATTATGACCTTTACATTATGCATAACTTTGCATGATGACATTTTCTTAATATGTCATCCACTGAGCACATCTGGTGTGAGGTTCACCAGTGACTGAGCGGTAAAAGCCGTAGAACAGTGTAGTTCACTTTGGGGTTTGAGTCCAGCTGAACAGGCTGGAGGCATGGACATTTTCATGGTATTCTCAATGTGTAATGTGGATACAAGCCAGAATGAATTAGCATTTACTGAGAGTGAATTAGCATTTGCTAAACTAAGTGAGGTTGAGTCGAGGGTGCTAATACAGTGTAAAGTTGAATGTTAAGCTGCTACCTGTGAGAGCTATTGTAAAAACCTATTCTCTAAACTTTAAGTAATCTAAAAGGTAAAATGCTTGTTTTGCGTGCAAAAATGTTGCTAACTTTGAGGCATTGTAAAAATGTGTTGGATGTTTCTCAGAAATTCATGAGCTATCTAACATTAGAGGAAAAGTGAAAATATTTTTTTCGAGGACGAAATATTTTTATCAGATCTCTATCATTACAATTAAAACTGGTAGAAAATTCTGACATCAGAAGCATATATAAAACAGAAAAATATCTGTTCTAGAACTTTGACGTCAGATGCAACCAAAAAATTTTTTTGTTTGTAATGTGCACAAAGTTATTTAAAATGAAGCAACTAGATATTTAGCAAAATCACGCATAGATTGAAATCAAGCAAATGTCCTTGACTTGTAGATATGACTTCCCAGTGTTGTATAGTTATCAAACCAATTTCTATGCAATAATGTAAGTACATCAACTGCTGTCCATGTAGCGCATATGGCATATGCCACTGCAAGGCTATTAATGTAACAGATACCATGTTACTTACTATTCATTCAAATGAGCGACACAAAAATTTACGTAATGTTTGTGCTTCAACTGTAATCAATGTAATGTAATGGCTTCAACAATGTAATGGCAGTTGATATCACTTAGCAATGGAGTATTCTTCAGAATGATGAAGCCCATTTCTGCTTTAATAGACTTATGAATGCTAACAACCATCACCTTTGGGCATGAAAATTCTTTGAATTATTCATGAAGTACTGCCACATTCTACTAATGACTAGTGCATTGCATAGAACTGTAGCTAATTTCATCTTTCTGCTTATATGTATTGGAAATAATACAGAATGTGCCCTATACCTGTCTGATAATGAAAAAACAGTATCATGATGTCCTCGCGAATGTTTTATGATAGACAGCAATATGATATGCTTTGTGAACTAGTGCTTTAGCAATGCAGGTATATTAAGAAAACCGCATGGAAGATCTGCCTCATCCTTCACCTCTCACTGTGTTCAAAATTATGTCAATGCAACATTTTATAAACTAATATATCAACTGTAGTTCCAAATAACTTGACCTCTCTAATCATCTATTCAGCCACATCTGAAAGATTAGCATCATTAGAGGATTTAAATCCAGACAACATGTATTCTATGGTAGAAAATGTTGATGATAATAATAGCACATACAGAATACAGTCAAAAGTCGTTAATCCAGACTTGTCGAGACTTCGGCGATTCCGGATTATCAATTTTTCCGGATTATAGATCATCAGTTTAAATCTGGTGATGGCATGCAGAAATTATAAAATTAAAAATATGAAACCGTAATTTATGAAATAAAGAACAATTATGATCTAAAGGGTATCAAAATTTACAAAAGCTTAATATTTATTTGTTTACTTTATAAACATTTCTTTCAACATAAGTTGTTTAAGTTGCTTCGTTTCATGTGATAAAACTTTCTCTTTAATTCTATTAAACAGACATAATTTCTAGTTTAGTTACAAAGTTCCGCTGTTCAAGTCCTATAATTATTGTATTGAGAATGCCGACTAATTTGTCAATCGAAATTTTTTCGTTTTCAGTAACCTCTGTCACTTTCTTCACTATCAGAAGCGAATTATAATGATGAGGAACTTGATTTAAATCATATCAAAGACGGAGTACATCGAGATGATGACATACTACATTTAGTAAGGAATTATAAGCCAAATAAAATAAAAAATCTGCCCTCAAGATAAGGATAGTGCTGACAGATCAACTTCCAATTCATTGCGCGCCGCATTGTTTCCCTCCCTCCGCACAGCAGCGTGAAATTTATAAACAGATTTCGGAATGATTAGATAATCAAAGGATATGCCTTTATGCATTTTTTGCAGCAATTCCACTTTCTGTTTAATGGACTTCGAAACGTACTTTCACTTCGTAGATACTTTACATATTAGTAAATATATATCGGAAATTCTATTTGACATAATCGAAAGTTCAAGCTTACTTTTATAAAATTGCTCTAACAGTCTGCAAAAAATAATAAGCCGTGTCCAATTCGAAGATTAAGAAACAACACAATCTGAAACATTAACTGAATTAGATAATTTTAGTTTAGCTTATGATGCTAAAGCAAAGTTTAAAGAAATTAAAACATTTAGCAGTAGTAGCAATAAAAGCTCCCTGAGATATGTTGTGCAGACATTGAAGACAATAAAAAATTTTGAACTTAACCAATTTATTAACAATATAATAAAGAATAAAAACACAAAAAATAAATGTCAACAATACTAGAGTATTAGGAAAAATATAATATAATCACCATTCATCAAATATTTTTACCTGGTCTCCAAAACACTGGCATTCTATACAAACAAAAATGCCCTAAACAGTAATTATGCGGCCTAAAAATAAAGCTGGCTACACATTTAATCAGTCCATAATCAATGGTCAAGAAAAACACCTGAAAATTTAAATGAAGTTCTTGAAAACACTTAAAACCGGCCTAACTCCGTTTGCACAAAGAATCGCCGTTCACATATTTTTAATTCCGCCTTCATTGAAGAACATGGATGCCACCCACTCGAATGGTAGCCTCGGGAACCAAAGAACTTTATTCTGGAACCATCATCTCGCAAACCGGAATCAAGGCATTTTTATTCAATGCCAATGCCAATGATTTAAAAATTTCGGAGTTCCTATGGTTCAAAACCATCTACCTCCACATCAGAATTGATAAAAGCGAGCAGAAATAAGAAAAATTTGGCATAAGTGATTTACTTGATGCACACTAGAGGGAGCCACAGGCTCGAGAGAGTTTAGGGATAGAGATGAGAAATAAAAACTTAAGTTTCATAATTTTTTTATAAGTTTTTTGGTTTTTAAAAATTTTTTTTTGTATTTTATAATTTATACTTTTTTTGGTTTTTTATAATTTTTTATACACAGTACAAACACTAAAGCGAAAAGCGGATAGGAAAGATTTTACGATTAATAGGCTCATTGGCATGTGGCTTGTGTTAGGGAGTGCAAATAATTATAGAGATCGCGATGAAAATATTCTTAGGCAGATTTGAAATCTGCGGGAGATGTGATTCTTAAGTAAACAGATTGATAACTTTGCTTGAAGATCTTGATAGTGGTAGCAGAAGATGTAATAAGCAATTAAATGGCAGCTCGCTGAAGAGACGTCCTTCCTTCATGGCGCGGGAGCTGGAACTGATGTTGAGCCAATGCCAATGATTTAAAAATTTCGGAGTTCCTATGGTTCAAAACCATCTACCTCCACATCAGAATTACTAAAAGCGAGCAGAAATAAGAAAAATTTGGCATAAGTGATTTACTTGATGCACACTAGAGGGAGCCACAGGCTCGAGAGAGTTTAGGGATAGAGATGAGAAATAAAAACTTAAGTTTCATAATTTTTTTATAAGTTTTTTGGTTTTTAAAAATTTTTTTTGTATTTTATATTTTATACTTTTTTTTGGTTTTTTATAATTTTTTATACACAGTACAAACACTAAAGCGAAAAGCGGATAGGAAAGATTTTACGATTAATAGGCTCATTGGCATGTGGCTTGTGTTAGGGAGTGCAAATAATTATAGAGATCGCGATGAAAATATTCTTAGGCAGATTTGAAATCTGCGGGAGATGTGATTCTTAAGTAAACAGATTGATAACTTTGCTTGAAGATCTTGATAGTGGTTGCAGAAGATGTAATAAGCAATTATATGGCAGCTCGCTGAAGAGACGTCCTTCCTTCATGGCGCGGGAGCTGGAACTGATGTTGACGAAGATCATATGCTTTGTAATAGTGTCAGAGCGCGAAGCGCTCTTTTACTATGTTTCATATTAAAAATATCAGGAGTTAGAGTTCGTTAATGAGCTGTCCGAGACTGGTGTTTGAGCATAGAATTGAGGTGAGCCGTTCTTCAACCGGCGAGGCGGTGGTGGCGGGGCCACACTAGTCTAGCAGTGACGTGAAAGGTAATGTAGTGCTTTTGTATAGTGGTAGCTGTAGTGACGGTGTCAGTATTAAAGCCTGTGTTATGGGGCAAGTATATGTGCTGGGTACCTGTGTTTTTCAACAGGGATTGGAGTATATCGAAGGTTTGATATTTCTGGATTATGATGAAATTGGACTGATTGAAAGAAGTTGGTGGAGAGTTTGCGTATATATTCTGCAATGGTATTGATATTGAGATCTGTGTGAATGGTGTTATTTGGGATAAACCAAGGTGCATTTACAATTTCACGAAGCATTTTGTTTTGAAGAATTTGTAGTTTTTTTATGTGCATTTTTGCCGCTTGTCCCCATATAGGGCAGGCATAGAGTAGAGCAGGTCTGAGTATCATTTTGTAAAGTATGACTTTGTTGGATATGGAAAGTACACTGTGTCTGCCTAAGAGAGGCCGCATAGTGGCCGCTGTCATTTTAAATTTTTCTGTGACAGCACTGAAGTGTTGCCTAAAGGTGAGTTTGCTATCCAGAGTGATCCCTAGGTATTTCACCTCGGAGACCCATTCTATATCATCATCAAAAATTTGGGGTGGTGGGGTGTAATTCGAGGTGGGGTGTAATTCGAGGTACCTTTACGAAAGATGATTGCTTTTGATTTATTAGTGTTGATTGCTATTCTCCAAAGTGTGAACCAGTGCTCGAGTGCTATGAGGTAATGCTGTAATTGAAGTCGAATGTGATTTGTATGTATTGCCCTCGTGAGAATGGCCGTATCATCGGCGAACAGTGCTAGTGTGATAGTGTCATCTTTGGGTATGTCATATGTATAGATATTATAGAGTAGGGGGGAAAGAACTGCTCCCTGGGGGACGCCAGCTGTAATGGGTCGTATGGAGGAGTGCGTATTGCGAATTTTGATGGTAAATGTGCGATTACTAAGATATGAAGCTATAAGTCGAATAAGATGATCTGGGAAGTCCAACTTGATAAGTTTGTAGATGAGTCCTTTATGCCATACTCTGTCAAATGCTTTTGACACGTCTAAGAAAATTGCTCCTGTGGGGATTTTGGCATTGTAACCATCTGTAATGTAATTGATGACTCTTAGAAGCTGATGTGTAGTGCTGTGTGAATGACGAAAACCAAACTGTTCTGAGGGTGTGTAATGGCTGACTGGAATGTTTTTGTGAATGAAATACAAAATAATTTTTTCCGTGATTTTAGATAGGCTGCTAAGCAGGCTTATTGGCCTGTAGTTCTGTGGAAATGTATTATTCTGTTTGGGTTTTGGGAATACTATGATAGATGCATTTTTCCAGGCTGATGGGAAATATGAGTATTTGATAATGGCATTGATGAGTTTAGTAATGTATGTAATTCCCATTTATGGGGAGATTTTTTAATGCCTTATTTGGGATCCTGTCTTGGCCAGAGGCTTTCTTATTTTTAAGTGCACTGATAAATTGTGCAACAAGTGTTGGTGTGGCAAGAAAGGTGAAATTTAGTGGAGCTGGAATGCCAAGATAGCTATCAACCACTGTGTTGACGTGATCAATATGATCATTGTCATAAGGGGCTGGATTTGGTGTAAAAGAGTCTTGAATGACATCTGCTATTGTGTTGGCTTTGTCAAGATCAGAGTAAACCATTCCCGACGGTCCATGTAAGGGGGGGATTTGCTTATAAGAGTTTTTGAGTTTACGAGAGATGTCGTACAGTGAGTTATCTTCAGTGGATAGTGTATTTAGAAAATTTGTCCATTTGCTGCTTTTGTACTCCTTGATTGCTCTTTTTATACTGTTTTGGAGTGAATTTAGTCTGCGTTTGGCCTGAGGGTCTCGGGTGTTTTGCCAGAATTTGCGTACTCTATTTTTTATGATAATCTGCTCCCTTATGTTGCGTGGAAGGGGTTGGAAACGTCTGTTGACATAGAATGTATTAGTAGCGTCATTAATGGCTGCTTTGATCTGATTGGTGAATTGTTCAATTTCCTTATCAATATCCTCTTTATTATTAATGAGGGGGTTGCCTGGGACTGTACTGGAAATAATATTAGTAAATTTGGGCCAGTTTGTAACACCAATTGAGCGTAGTAGTGAAGGAGGGCTAGCATTTGTAAAAATTTTCAGTAATACTGGATTGTGATCTGAAGAAAGTGCTGGGATTGAGGTAATTTCATGCTGGTATGGAAAATCCCTTGCGATGAAGAAATCAATAATTGTCGATCTGTTTAGGGAGAAATGCGTGGGTTCTTCTGGTGCTAGCAGTGAGTAATGATTTTGATTAATGAGATCAAAAAGTAAGTTGCCGTTTCTGTTTGCTCGTCCAGGATTCCAGCTAGGGTGCTTTGCATTATAGTCACCTCCTGCTATTGATTTGGGGTGTATAGTGATCAGGCTATTGAGTTCTGTAATGTTAAGGTGATTTGTGGGTGGTATGTAAATATTGGTAATTGCAAATGAGGTATTGTCAATTGTGATAATGACGTTGACGTTTTCAAAGCTGTTTGTGAGCACTGGCTTGTGGAAGTGTGAGATACTGCTTTTAACATACGTGATGACCCCGCCGCCTCGTCCTGAGAGTCTATCACATCTGTAGGCAAAGTAATTTTGGAAAGAGGACCGTCCTGGCTGGCTTGAGATGAGTTTCCTGCACTAAAATAACATCCGGCTCGAATTCTAATATGAGATCGCTTAATTCATCTTTTCTGGAGTAAAGTCCATTGGCATTCCAAGTGAGAATGCTGTAGTATCTGTTATTATTTGCTGCTGGAGAGTTAAATGTGACTAGTGATTTTTTCAATAATGTCCACTATTATTTCTATTTTGTCAAATATTGAAGTTTTTTGTTTGATTGTTTTTATTCCGTTTTTGATGTCATTCCATATGACTTTTAGCGATTGGAGACTGAAGAGGTCATCAGAGCTTTGCATTGTCTCTGAGGTTTCTGTCTGGGCTGCAGCAGCTGGTTCTGTGAGTGGCGGGAAATTTTCTGAATTGCTTGTCCAGGGGTTATTGGCAGGCGGCTGGCTTGGGATGAAATTGTCAGTTTTCCTTTTTGTCTTTGGTATAGCCGGGCAACCGGAAAAGGACGCAGGATGTGGTCCCCCGCAGTGACAGCACCTTGCAGGTTCTTCTGGTTTTAGTTTACATTCGCCGGACGTCGATCGATGTGGGCCCCCACATCTCACACACACCCATTCTCTTGTACATAATAATGAGTTGTGGAAGAACCCCTGGCACCTATAGCACTGTGGAGGTCCTGGTTTTCTTTTAAGTGCCTCTACGGTAACTCTGAGATAGCCAATGTAAGTGAGGTTGTAAATGGTTTTGTTTTGCTCGTTTCTTGGCAAATGCACTAGAAAGAGCGGCATTGGTTGGTTTGTTCTCACGTCTATTTCTAAGATTAGTTATGTAGGTAGCTCCATATCCTTGATTTCTT